AGAAGATAACACAAAATAGACAAACAAATAAGCAAAATAGGCAACAAAGACACGCCAAAATTGTAGATGTTTAATAACAATCTAGTCATGTAAATTATACATTTAATGAATTCGATCATGTGTAAAAAACCTTCCTAGTGACATCCATACACCCTCCGTGCAACGCTAAAGTGTGTTAATAAAGATATTAATATACAATAAATCATAATATGCGAGCTTTAATAAGAAAAACTAACCATGGCGCATCCATCAAAAGTTGAACCAATACAATGATTTAGTAAATAGCTTTTGCCTTTATTATAGAATTACGAACTATGGTCAATAGCTATTCACTGACATTGAAATTAAAACCACACTGCTATTATTTTTTTTTCAAAACATATAACTTACCGCAAGATTGCTCTCCCATAGATGAAATAACTTTTACCTCTAGATCTGCATAATATTCGAATATAGATTCATACCAACCAAATGAAATGGCTTTTGATATGTTTCCAACTAGTCCAAATACATCATCAAATACAATTTGTTCTGTTTTTTCTAAGGACCCGTCTCGGATTGGAATAAAGTCATTGTCATGCGCAACAGCAATTTGGATAGGAATAAGGCAAAAAAAGTCAATAACCCAACTAAATAAGATATAATAAAGAAGTTTGTGATGTTGGTACACTAAGTATTTTAACCTTGCTTATAAAAATGTATAAATTACTTACTCTCCAAGCTTATACACCGTAAATTCATTTGTAAAATTCTCAAAGTTTTCGAAAGCGATACAATTTACATTTGTACTAAATTCTTTAAGGTGACCTATAGGCTTGTTTGTTTCCTTCAGAAACTTTTCAAACAATTTAAGGGAATAGGCTCGAAACTTGGTCACATAATTGTTTATATCCATTTTGTTACCAAGATTCATGACTATCGTTAATTTTAATGGTTTGTCTTCTTTACCAAATGGGTTTGTTGTTGCATATTTTGTAAAAACCATAGAATATACATCAAGCAATCCATTTACTTTTGTTCTTGGTTCGATTTCAAATTGTTGCCATTTTTCAAAATCAAGCGAATTAAATTGCCGTCTTTCGACCTTTAATTCACTATCGTTAACAACTTTTATAATTTGAAATTTTTCATTACCAATAACTAAAAAGTCACCAACAAGACCATTGGTGAATTTTGTGTTTTGACCAAAGACTGTAGATGGATTATTACTTTCTATTTTTACTTTACCCAAAGATTTTTTTACGGTCTTTCGTTTTAATCGATATTTAGCCTTTACGTGTGTAACTTTAACCATCAAAGATCGAAAAAAATTATTATGTAAGTCAATTGTTATTAGGTAAACTTGTTATCTTCGAGCAAAGAAAATTGGAAAAGTTCCATAGTTGGATATTCAAATGGAACTTTGATTACTTTGTTTGCATTTTTGCTAAGCTTTTCCAAAAAATATACATATCCGCTAATAATGTTCCCATTTAATATTTGAGAATTGTTTATTTTAAGTTCTGTTAAATTATCTATATATTCTTGTGAAATAGTTGCAAGCTCGTTATTTTTAGTTGCAATATCGATACTTGATTTAGTTCATTACTAACGTCATAACTATTTTCTGATTGAATTTCCGTATACATATTCACCTCAATTGCATTATCTGTGCATTTAGATGTTTCAATTTCCTTTGGCAATTCAGATTCTGTAGAACTATCCATATTCTTTTGAGAAATACTCGCAAGTTCTTTATTATTTTTTGTTTCGTTATCGATATTTAACAATTCAGTTGTGTCATTAGTACTTAATGATTTGGGTTTATCATTAATTTCAAAAATGTTGTCTACTTTCATTTTCTCATTTTTACACACGTTCTTAGAAACTGTCTCTAACACATCATCATCGGCTTTAGATGTTTCAATGGCGAATTTTTCTTTTACAAATGCAACAAAGCAAGTTCCATCTGGTGTG